ATTGTTCTAGGAGGTGAATTCTGTGTGATAATGTCAAATACAGAGCCTTATAGGAAGACAAACAGACTCATGATTACCAGTATAAAGCAGTAACTTATGTTAATGTAAGGGGTCTTATAGGCCTCCATAGGAAGCAAAGTTGCGGTCTAGGAAGCCCAACCCTATCTACTATCTTTCTAGGCCATCAGCTTGATGAAGTTTCACCTAGGTGTTACAGTACAGTAAGTCGTGTTCTTTACCAGTCAGCTTAAATAACAGAATTAGTGTAAAGAAAGAAATATGAGGCAAGTACTGTCTTAAGTTTGCTGACTACAACACACTGCAAACAAAGTAACATTAATTTGAAGTTTATGGGCGAGATCCTAAAAAATCGCAGAGCACGGTGCCTGGAAATAACATCCTTCTTCTTTTCCAAGTTAAAACCAAAGACAGTGTCTAAAACGACGGTGGAAACTTCGCAATCACATCACCCATTGGGGCAGTAAATCCTCTCCATCATTTAAGGTATGCAACGCAATGAACATATAGCAGATTTGTCATTAGTCGTTTAGAGACTTCTAAGCCCTTCCTCATGTTTACTGGTTCTGGCATAGAAAAGCAGGTTTTATACTCTGTGATAGGATTTTTTAATATGGTCCAAAATTTTACTGGAAAAACAAAAATTAAAGAAAATAATCTCAGAGTGTTTAGGAAACCAAAACAATATAATCTGTGCACTGCAAAGGATAGGACTCAGCTAACCCAGCGGAACTACTCGGGTTTAACTCCGATTCTTATTCACACCCAAGCAAATTTGACTAAGGAGTCATGACAAATTCAGTGAACCATCCAAAAAAATCTTGTTCTGACTCAGAAGTACACTGGAACCATTACCCATCAGACTTTGCTCTTCAGTTGTTTCACGGTGCTTCTAACATCCATGATCTGGATACTGATACTGTCTTTCCTAATAAATGGTTTGAAGCGGTCATCAGAAAGCTTTCAAACTAACTTTGACGTTTGGATGAAAGTTTCATAAGCATGATACCGTCTCATTGAAGCCTATGACTGCTTAGAGATTAAAGGTAGTACTCCTGCTGTGATAAAGTTGTTATCAGCAAAAAGTCTGGTCTCGAAAGCCTCCCTGAAGGACGGTGTCAAACAAGGTTTTTGACAAGTACATGGCAAATTATGTCCTCTATTATTACCCGCTTCAAGGGCTGAAATTATGGATCTTGTGGCTGGTGCTGTTGTCAGAATAGCAACAAACGCAACAAACTTCAACCAACCCAAAAATATCAGAAGATGAATCGGCAATTTGAGGGTCGCCTATTGTTCCACTGACAATAAACCAGAACGACAAGACAGTTACGCAACAAATGGTTACGGTGCCAGAATTGAGAGCTTCAGAACGTTACGGGGCAAAATATTGCAGCTTTAAAGTCTATATATTGATGCCGGTATAATTTGCGATATTACTTCTGTCATGTTGTTCCAGTCTTTCGATGAAAAACAAGCAGCCAGGTCCCGATAGGGAATGTTACCTCCGGCGGAAGCGAAACCAGTTTGAATATTCCAGATCATTGGACATTCGTTCGATACTAACAACACTGAAAACTATTAATATTCCCTTGGGTTCTGAGTGGAACTTAGAGTCTCAGCGTCACATCTCCATTTTTCCTATCCTCTTCACTCCTCATTAAATGGCTCAACGATTGCCCGTGAACTCTCATTTCCTTCTCAGACGATCTCCTCCACGTCACTCTCGGACTTCCAACCGGTCATCTCCCGTTCGGGTTAAAGTCGGGGCCAGTAGAGTGAAGTCTGATTGTTTTCTTAACATGTTTCCGATCCATCCTCATTTTCTCCGGGATATCTGTTCGACAGCAGGTTCTTGGTTAGTTCGTTGCCAGATTTTTCTTGTTTCAAGCTCTTTCCGGCAGTCCGCCGTTCATTATGGAGCGAAAGCAGGTGTTGATAAAAGTCTGAGGCCTGTTCGAAATGCTTTCAGTGACGCAACAAGTTTCTGAACCATAAGAAGAACTGGCCTAACATTGGTGTCAAAAATCTGAATCTTGTTCATTATTCTGTGCACAAAAGATTTTGAAACTAATTTTAGAGTAAAGGCCTCTCTCGCCTTACCTACTTCGACTTCGGTAGACCCATGGCCGGTGCTTGCAGTTGAAGCGATAAGTGAAGAGAGCACCCTTCAAATTTTTTCCGTCGATAGTAATTGGTCCTCATTGTGGTTGGTTAGTTATCTTCATCTCCTCTGTCTTATCTACGTTCACTTAAAGTTTTGTTTTTGCCACTTCTCCTGCCAGCTGGTTAGTTTCCACTTATGGATCTTCGAATCTATGTGACACTAAATATAAATCATCCACAGAATCGAGATCTTCTGGAGAATATATTATTGTTATTATTAGAGTTTTCTTATCGGCCCAACGTATTCTTGTCTTCTCACTACCCACTGAGGGTGCACCTCGAAATCTTGTCCACCACAAATAGGAATATCATCGATGATAATGGGAAGCCTTGTCTTACTCCTGTATTCACTTCAAAGGCTTCGCTGAGTTTTCCGCTGTGGATCGCCTGACACGTGGCATTGTCATACAGCCAGCTGTTGAATGAGGCTGATAAAGACTTGGGCAATGTAAGCCGTGGTGTTGAAGCAGTTTCCAAATTACATTTCATTCAACGCTTTTGAAGGCCTTTTCGAAGTCGATGAAGTCAAGGTACAAGTTTGACTGCCATTATTATTAGGGTGTTTCAGTGAATAGGCAAAAATATACCGGTACGGTTTTATGAAAATACTACAATGTACGTCAAACCTTTGAACTTTGTACCTCATTTAATCCATTGTATTTTGCAGATATCGGTATCAAGAAACATCTTCTGATAAGAGTGCAGCTAATGAAACGCAGATCAAGAAAATGAAGATACCGGTAACATATACACCAGAAAAACACTTAGTGTAAAATTGAATTTAAAAAGCGTCCAAAAATATAACTTGTCCATAAATCACCACAGCAACAGACTATGACACTGCAAACATCGGGGGTATGCCATAAAGCCAGTCGTCTTCAATCAGCAAATCACCAAAGGAGCAGAATTCTGCAAAGAGTTCTCTGCCTTCATTCATTTTACTCAGCTCCTTCCTGCGTTATATGCCTCCAGTCTGACATTCATACTACCCGCTGATTGTGGTTTAATCCATCATAATTTGCGGTTGTGTGTGGAAATTCCCCTTCTTTTCCAATGGATGTGTATTGTTTATAGTTGCGAAGCACTGTTCGGTTTTAATTTGTTTCGTGTTATGACCCTAGATGAGTTTAATTCAGACCTCATAGGAGACTTCATTGCTGTCAGTGATATGTTAGCCACTAATTTCGTATAATGATGATTATCGGCTGAATGACCGGAGCAGATTGCTGACTGTCTGTTTGAAGATTTGGAGAGTGCTCTTTCATTTCATCCGCCATCACATATTCCCAGCACTTCTATGCCATATCTTCTCATTCTGCTACAATCCGAGCAGCTTTGTCAACATTAAACGCATTGCGGCTATTCTGTATCCCTATCTCTACTTTTGGTTTCATAGAATGAAGACATATAGTCCGACATGTTTCTGGAAGTCTTTCATCCATTGGGGTCATCCATCTCCTTGATTATAAGTCTTCCTGATTCCAGATAAGTATCGGTTTTTATGTTTCTTGTGTGCATTGAAGTTTCTTTGGTGATAAGGTTCAGCATTCCGAATAGGGTAGCCAGCTCAATGCCCATCCGTCCTCTTCCTCTGGACGCAGGACCGGTCAGGAAATGAAGAACCTGGTAAAGTATGTCAGGTTTCGCTTGTAATGGTATTGATTATTTTTAATCTTAGAGAGAAGAAACATCAAAATTCCATGGAATTCTTAGAAGTCTGGCACTTACATGAATCTGTGATCAATATACACATTGGCATAGAACAAACTTAACGAACCATTGTAAACTCATGGTGCATTGAAAAAGCTGTGTGGAGATACTGTTTAAAAATATAATGAAAGCTCCACAATTTAGCCATTCAGCTGACGGAACACAAATGCACTAGTGTCTTCCGCCTGACCTAAAAAACCTTCAACACTCACTAATGATACACGGTTGATTCCAGTATACACTGGATGAGATAGTCGCCTGTCGTCACATGAGAAGCTTGTGATCTGTGTTTCATAAGTGTAGTCTTTTAATGACAGATAAGTACTATTGTCCTGTTTTAATTTTTTAGCTGATAATATTTTGAATTCGTCATCACTTATCAGTGATTAATCTGTTTTCCCGTGCTAAAAGTAAGATTATCTTATCATTTGTGTTGGAAAATTCCCCGGGACGTTTAATATTTTAATGATAAATCTCTTGAAAAGACAGCATGACTAGAAAGTTTTGTATAATTCCACGAATTTCGATCAATTCCGTTTCCGTCTTGTTACATAAAATTTATCCGCGATTTTAATATTCTGTTTCTACGAACACTTGGATGCAAGGTGATTTCTAATGCCTGTGTCATACAACCCCCGGAATTTCTTATTATTTTGTGGATTTTGAAATCCCCAGAACCGGTGTTATTACTGGCTAAATTAATTAAAAGGAACATCGACCAAGCTGTAGGTAAAGCCTAGATTTTACTGTCATACAAACGACCGTTTAGATGTGTCAGTAGTTTAAAGTATTTTCAATGGATCATAAGGCACCTTTGTTCAATAAAATCTCAGCTTTCTTCCAAAGACTTACATGATGTTTTAACGGGGCATAAAGTGTATAAATCTGTCAATTCATATTCACATTTTTGTTGGTTGTATTCTAAGAAAGTAATTAAATTTATACAGATATCTTTCCTATGCATAAACACTGGACTTTATCACAGACTAGTGGTACAGTTAGAGAATTCCACAATTGTTTATTCCAAATTACGACTTATTCTTATAAATCAAATTGAATAATATAAATTCACCTCCATAAATTAAAGATGCGAAGATGAAATTTAGGCTTTTTTCAAATAAGATAAATAAACTTTTTATTCAAAACAAACAGCAACAACAACAACAACACACGAATGCATATTGTATTAAAATTCAATGTTGATTTATTCTCTTAATCTGAATGTCAAAAACGTTTTAAAGAAGTAAGGAAGGAAGGAAGTAAATCTGAACTGATCATGAAAGTGACAAAAGGATGGAAAAGGAAATTCGATTGTCTTCTTCAGTGTGTTTTCAGACAATTTGAGTTATATAATTTCCTCTTTCGTATAAGGTAGTTGTTTTACATTGTTACTTGAAAAAGACGAAGTACATTTGTAAACGATCTGTTACTGTATAATGACACATATGCATATATATGTAGATATTAAATAGAAATGTTTCGTCGTGATATAACGATGGTAACAAAGTTATCCAATAAAATCACACAGAAAATTTCACTAATAAGTAATTTATTTATTTATAAATGTCCTAATTTTCCTAGTTTTGGACATTGAAATAATCTGTTAATAGTGATATTTATAGTGAATACATTTGACCAGCAAGTGTTTAATAAGCGTAACCATTTCGTTTTGGTTAGTTTCATTCAATGGGTGAAATGAAATATGTATTAATATTTTTAGGATTATTTTACTGCATTAATGAAAATGAGGGTATGCAGTAAGATATTTTAATAAAAAAAGTTTTAATGTAAATATTTATACAAACCTAGTTTTTGAAATTATTGCATGATTATAGAAATCGTTGCATGCTTTGTGATAATACAATTGCCATTTTAGCAAGGGGTTGTGGTAAATCATTCTAGTTTGATAGATTTTACAATATATATATTTATTTACTTCACCTCTACATGCATTCACCGGTTCTTCTCCACAGACAGGGGTGGAAGTAATGAAATCGGCTTGGGTAATTCTTCACAATAACTTATACATGGAAGACTGTAACGTGTGACATTTGGTACACTAGAAGCACTTTTGTGCCGATTTGTCTTTCTTCGTAGCTCACCTGTTCTGCAACCTTGTGGTATATCCACGTAGTACATTGCACGGTAATTTTTCATTTGTGATGTGATTGCTTGCTCTTCACCAGCAGTGTTCAGTGAGGTTGATTTATTTAGCTTTGATTCAGAACCAAATGTTAAACGTAAGCTGATTGGAATTCCTTTCTTCTTTTTCTTTACTGATTGAGAATTTTGATATTTCTGTCCATCTACATTTGCCGATGATAGATCGTTTTGATTCTCTATCTGTTGTTGTTGTTGTTGCTGTTGTTGATATTCAAGATCTCCTACAGAGGCCACTCGTGTAATACAAATCTCTTTATCAGTAGCGGCTATATTAAATGCAAATGGTGTTTCAGTTTCAATGCATATATCTTCATTTGAAGCTACACGACCAAGTAATAACTTGCATGGGGGTAAAGTTTGTAGTGGTGGGACTCTATTAACCATTGGTTGTTGCTGTTTCACTGAGTTAATATTCGTAGGGTTCGACGACATTTTCAATTCTTGATGTGATTTTATTTGTGGAACGTGTTCATCTTGTGTATTTTGTGTATCATTGATTAGACAATCGATTGTATTTAAATCTTTCTCCAAATTTGTGACTATAGGGTAATCCTAAAAGTAACATTCAAAATAATATGTATAAAATGTGAACATTAGTGCCAGTGTCATACATTGTATATTCTCCTTGTAAAGATTATTCTGGTAAGATTAAGAAAATGTCATAAAGAGCAACTGAAAGTATTCTATCAAATTAAAGGTTGTTTACTGCTTTCATACCAGTATCATTTGAACATGCCATTTTCTAGTTCATTTAAAATTTTTGTTTTTCAGTCTGTTTCCAATGATTCTCTTACTTGTATATACTTTTTGTACTTCCTCAGCTTCGATTTATCGTCTAAGTCAATAATAAATGGATGGTATATAAGTTAAGATCATTTTTAGTCATTAAATGGATTCAGAATACATGGATTACCGTCACTTTCCATCACTTACTGCATACACCCAAAATACATCAGTTTGAATGAGTGCCACTAGGATACAAGTTAAAGCGAAACATTTCTGATGGAATAGGTCACATGTACTAATATGAAACTATGAAGATGAAATTTTATCTGTTTAACTCTGAAGGCTTCCGCCTAGATGCAACTATCAGGCAACAGTCACTGCTACAGACTAGCAAGATGTGTTCACTGAAATTTCCGAATTCGGGGGTACACTTTAAAATCACACATGTTTCAAGTGACATGCTCATGATAACCTCAGCAACAAACGGTACTTGTTTGAATTTTCAAAGGGACGTGACCTTATCCAAAATGTTTGGTGTTATTATTTAATCTTATTTTGAAAAAAAACTATGAAGATGTGTAGAAGAATAGTGTGAGCATTGTGGTGAAACCACTTAACTTAATAGCACCAAAACCATACCCCTGATCCACAAATCTTATAAATTCTTTTAGGTAGCGGATAAACCTGTGATACACAACTTTCTGTTGACTGACATGGGAGACAAAGATAATGCTGTTACATAATATACAATGATCAGATCACTAACTAGATCACTGAATTCCAATCATTGGTTAATATGATGAAAAGGATATGTATGCAGTTTATAGATATTACTTGCATTAGCAGCTTTCATTCTTTGCTTCATAATTCCGCACATTTGTAATTCTTAAGACTTAGTGATTTTGATAAATTACAGAAACAGATGGCCTATTTCGAATAAAATGTATCTGTTTTTCGGGTGTTTTTCTGCGTCTGATGACGAGCAATGACCACTGATAGTCAAAAAATGTCCTGAAAATATTTTTGAGGCTACAGATGTTTAGTTTTAATTCGGTCTCGAGATTACTGTTGTACTATAAGAGTGCCGTAAATGACACTAGTCTCATTGTAAACGATAAAAACGGTTGTTGTAACGTGATTACCATAATCCGTCATTCAATTTGCACACCTTAAAAACAGAGCAGCTATAGACCTTTGTGTCTCTACAAGTAGATAAAATTGGTCCACTTATTCAGCTCAAATTTAATTATCTGATTTTTTTGCCTAGTCTAAGAGATATTTTCAGACTGCATTTCGAACAGTCTGCTCATATCTAATTGCCAGTCTAGTTTACATGAAAATGAGGTAACGGAGAGTGATATTATCTTATGAGAGAAAGACTAAAATCTCTCATCCTTAAAACATATTTGACATCCCAGCTTGTCATTAGCGACAAAGCCGCACTCATTTCTTACTAAACACATAAAGAATGCATGATTACGCCACATCCAACACTGCAGAAAAGTTTACGAGGGTGTGGCACATACTTATAAAGAGGAGTAAACGATCTTTGAATGTCAGGGCAGTGGGCATTATTTTATTTATTTATAACACAAGTAACTAGGCCTCCATAAGAGCATCAGATAGACTACCATCTTCATTCATAGACGAGCAATTTGTTCGTATTAACCATAAGATTGATTGTAAACAAAAACGTCCACAAAATCCATCAGGAGCGTATAATAAAGTATACTGAAGCAATGGCTATTGGTAGAATTCAAACCACTCATGGGGACAGAGCAGCTGTTGTTTACATTTTATCTACTTCGGTAATCCTTGTCTGATGACTTTATCCTCCCCACTATTAAATCTTCAATTATTCTATTCAATCTATGTATGCTACTTTAGAATACATAGAATTTACAAGCGCTAGTTTAGTCAAAAAATTCTTGGAAATCTTGGAAATTTTCATTTATTAGGCTTAGTTTTATCCTCAAATTAACTTTCTGTTTTTAAAAGGTGATGTATAACGTATAAAACTGCGTTGTAGATATTTTTGATCAAACATGTCTAACGCGTCACTAATCTGTGGTATGAACAATTGTATGGTGTTAACCACTTTCACACAAAGTACATTCCGTCGTTTATCCATATCAGCTAGCAAACCACAGTTAATCGAAAAGAGTAGAATAAGCGTTTTTCTAAGCAGATTCTGAGGTTGGCACGTTTTAACTGACCTACTGAGTTGAAATTCAGTGGTACATAATTGAAAACTTGTGGGAGTTTGCTACATAGTACTGCTGCAGTGGGGAGTCTTAACTGAGTAACTTTACCTAAACTCACTTAAACTTACTGGCTATAACACACGCATCAGAATTATGGAAATAGTTAATAAGAAACGTTGAAACTCTAACCTGACGCTTCTGACGAAACTTCCCTTTGGATTAATTAAATCTCGACTGATTTCTATTGTAAATATCATGACTGTCCAAAACGTGTCAATAAAACAAATTCATACCTAAGTTATTTGATGTTCAAATAAACTTTGCAACCAAGAGATTCGGCTGAGAAATAGCAACTAGAAAACTGACTGATTGCCACTAACTGGTGGTCAGATAGTGATTAATGTGAGCATCTATTAATCATTATATTGATGGTCGATTTTTTAAACATCGACTGATGGTTGATTGATGGTCGATTTTCTAAATGGTAGAATAGTAAGGGATTCTATAGTGCATTAGTCCTTTTGAGAGTTAGTCATCAAATTAACATGTTTATAATAACACTAATAGGTTGAACTGAAAAAAACAACAAAACGTTCTAAGCCACCCAAGAATCAGCCATTTGTTAATGGATTAACTAATATGGATCTAGAAAACAAGCTTCCTAAAGAAAACACTATAATAAGAAGACACATCAAACATTGGAATCAGTCAAAAACAAGATAAGACGTAGCAAGAGTTTTGATCCATTGACCCAGATAAAAATGGTAGATTTTACTTTCTAAATATCAAGCACAGTAGAAGGAATTTGTCAGCCACTTGTAGACAAAGAAACTGCTGAAATATTCCCGAATAATCAAAGATACAGCAGTGAACAGCTTTAGCATTGCGTTGAGTGGCACCATTGTTTTAGTGCTTATACTGTGTCAGGTGCACAGATCCTTTTTTGCTTGACGTCTTTTTCATATTAACGTTGAACAAAAGCTATTGATTTTCCGGCTGTACGTTGAAATTTCTTATAAGACAAGAGAAATGAGAGAAGCTACCTTGGGGAGTCACTCTTTAACTTGTTCTGTTATTAATGCTTGTAATATGATGCCGTTTATCAGAAAGTGAAATGTCTTTACTCAACCTGATTTATAGCTGACCCTGCCCTTTGAAAATATTCGAATTGGCTGCAAACTACATAACTGATACACTAATCCATATATTTACACTTAAAAAGCAAAAATATGCTTTCACAGTGTTGAAGGATGTCACTTTGTAACTTGAAATTCATATTCTCAGTATATTTGAGGTCAATTTTTACAACAAGTTTATCTCAAGTGAAAAGATAAAATATTCTAAATTACTGTTTAATTTTAAGAAGTTTTAGTGAAGAAATTCATTAACCCAACAATGAGAAATCAGGATGTCAATATGATTTCAGCCTTAGAACTTTTCCATGTTATACGAGCAGCCTTGTGTATAGAGTTATCAAAAGTTTTCAGACATTGCGGCTTGTCAACGTTGAGTGCAATGGGAATGAAATAAACAAAACTGTATTGTAAATGAACGGGTTTAAAAACGTTTTTGCTGGTTAGTTATGTTTAATGTGAATCATTTCCTTTGTGGGTTATTTCAATATATCAAGATTGAGAGATTCACACAGATTTAAGAACTAAAGTATGAGGTCACTTAACATTTAGTTATAGTAAGTACCTATTGTAAGCTTATCAAAATGTACTACTACTTAGATTGGTTTTCTTCTTCAGTGTGGTTTTCTCAATTTGTAATAGGTTATCAAGACATTGACATTTACAGATCAATTTGTATGACAGCTATCAGACATTATCATTATTGACTTTTACCAAAAGCAGAACTGCCTGATTTACAGACCTGAAGGTATATATATTTTTCACACATAGAATCTGTGAACTTGCTAAGTCGTGTAATATATCCTAATCGGTTTTGTATGAAATTTAATTTTCGGTATTTGCTTGTATGTATTTTGTGGTAGTAATTTTCCTCGCACACCACTCAATACAACTTACCCTCAACCCTCCTCCCCCAGTGAAACTCATGTGATGTTGACTATAAATACATTAGTATGTCACCTATTCGTCTATTCACGTTTTATCTTATGTTCTGAATGACTACACACTTTATATGCATTCATTTGACAATATTAAATAACGAACTATCATTGTATATTATACATATGCCCAAATTTTCACTTGCCTTTACTGGTTATTTATATTATAATATTCATGGATTTATAACTGTGGTATATGAGGAAGAAATTGTTCGCTGAAAACCATCTTGCTCTGATTACACTATGGGAACTTTTAATTTACTGAAATTTAATTGTTCATTCCATTATACAGTCCTTGAAAACTATTTGAATTAAATGAATAGCAACCAACAGACTTGTAAAATATTTATAATTTTTGACTAATTAATAAGAATTTATTATCTAGAACTATTTTAACTGGGTTTTAGAATTAGTGGGATCCCAATAATTAGTTGGGATGTAATGATATCCAGCTGAGAAGTCCTGGAATCGATTCTACTTTTAGCTACTTAATACCAGATAAGTTACAGGATTCCATCATTAGCTGATATCGGTTAGAGAACCATTGGAAAACTACCAGGGACTACTGGACAGCTGTTTGGTCCCAGTTTGGGACTCTTCAGCGGTATGCGCCCACCGGGGTTCGAATCCAGGACCTTCTGGTTACAAGGTCAGCTCGTAGACCATTGAGCCACTGGGACCCTATCCAATAGCCCATGAATTCTAACTTCTGTCAATTCATGACATAGCGCGGCAAGTATTTTTCCTCAAATCCCTGGTGGTTTTCCAATGGTTCTCTAACCGATGTCAGCTCATGATGAAATCCTGTAACCAATCAATCAAATCCCTACAAATCAATAATACCAGATAACACTTACAAATTCATTCATCTGGTCCCTTCACATCTTGACGAAAGGGGAATAAAGATGTCAAGTATTGTTTTCAATTCGTAAGTCTACATCGTTTTCTGTATGACTTTTAAAATGTCCCCGTCAATGAATACTTTTATGAAAGTGTATTTTTTGTTTATAATAACAGAAGCCAGCGTTGGTCAGAAAATTCTGTCAACAAACATGTCGTTTTTTATATTTAAGTAAGGTTATTATCAACAAAAGTGAGTAGTGAAGTAAAATGCTTATTTCCCATGAGGAAACAATCACTCTATTTCAAACAATCATTTTACGCAGAATGGAATTTTCAGCACTTTTCTCCTAAAACATATTTACTATTTTTTATGAATGAAATCAAAAGAAATCAACACGAAACATGCAGCTTGTGCTAATTCATTCAAGTACAGGAGTTTGGTTATTATTTGTACGTTAGTTACCACCCACTGTGATATTTCCTATCGAATTTACTAGGAGCATGAAAAGTGATAGATTGAAATGCCTTTAAGATCAAGTAAGTAAAAATAGAGTAAAAGCAAAAGGAGTAAGTAATTAAGAGCAAAATGTTTTCTTCGGGAAGAGAACGTCTTGATGCTACGAAAAGGTTGCCAGTTTTTTCAGACGTCAAGAATTCGCAAAAAATTTACCTTCAATTTGGTGGACGAAGCTTAACAGTGGTAAACCTATCATTAACAAACAGTTTAATTCCCAGAAATCTACTGAATCTGAATTATTACACTATAGTAGTTTTTTTGGAGTGAATATATTCATTATTCCTTCAGATCTCATGAAGGTCCATAACAGTTAATCTTGGCAAGTGATTATCCGAATTATTGCATTTTATTAATACAGTGATGGAACTGTAAGAGAAAAGAGCATCCAGAATACGAGAGATTAGCTGATGCATAGCGTCACGTCAGCATACATATAACGGTTTGATTGATCCTGTGGGGCTGAGTACATCCACCGTACCTTGTGTAGGCTTGTTAACGCGCTTGTGAACACTACTCAGTTTTGTTAGCAAAGGGAGAATGGAAGTGTGCCTGTACTTAGATAAGTGAATATCTTTTGAGTTCACCTCCAATCAAACCTCTCAAGAATAATACGTCACAGGGCTTCAGCCGCACGTCTACATTGTGATCGGTTCTCCGCCAACGTTTTCACCTGGCTCCACGTCTGTCCACATACTTTCGTCTCTATTCGCATGACCTACTTCATTTTACCCCCGCACTGACTACCACCTACCATTCGGGTCTACTCGAGCGATGTCCTGTTGTGTGACGTCACTTGATGGTTTTCTCAGAGTATGGCCAATCCACATCCATTTCTTCGAGTATATTTGTTGCAGAATCAGTTCTTGGTTGGTTCGCTTTCATAGATCCCTCACTATTGCTGATATTTTCTGGCCATCTGATCTTGAGTAGTATTCAGCGAAGATGACTGTTGATGAAAGTCCGTAGTTTTTCCGAAGTGCCACTCGTGACGCGCCAAGTCTCTGATCCGTATAGTAGAAGTGACATAACATTATAGTTGAAAACTCGGATCTAATTTTCCATACTGAGTGCTGTTGATCTCCATACAGAATTGAGAGTAATGAAAACTTGCCTTGCTTTCCCGATCCTCGCTTTGATATCCGCATCAGTTCCACCTGTAGTTGAAACGATACTGAAGTACTGGCTGTCCGAAATTTTAAGACGATGCTACGCATCTGAAAGAAGTATATTCAACCCTTGTTTTCTCCACTGTTATCAGCCTGCTTTTCCAGAGAGTGGTTATCGCCTAATTATATTTACTATGCCAACTTTCTGCTTATTTTCTTATTTTAATCCCTGTCTGTATTGCACAACTTCATGCTGTTATTCATTATATGTGGACTATTGACAGTGAGCAGTTCTGGTGCTTTCTCACTAATTTGTTATGTATTCATCACTGTTGACTTTGTTTTGTTTTCTAAAATTTCTTAGACGTTGACACAGAAACACAGAATAATTAACTAATCACCCCATTCGTTCGATGAGGATTCTCGAAATCTTCATATTAGATGACATCGCTGAGGTGGTATTCAACAGAACACTGTATGGTGCTTTGGATATAGTCACAATTTCATATTGTAGTAAATTCTCATAGAATCTAAAAAGTTGAAATCATATCTCAGTGTGTTGCCCAACTAATATGTAAGCATGATAGAATTACATGAGTAGGACCGACCAATTTCTGAAAGTAATAGCTACAGAGTAAGTGATAAAGTATCTAAATATACAGGTTAAATCATCAGATACGAATTGCTTCTAAAGTAGTTGTCTACTGCAAAGTATGTTTTTCAGATGGTTTGATTTTATTAAGTATTTTATTTTAAATACAGGAAGACATGATTAACATACAGAGTTTTTTAAAATCTTAACCATAAGAATTTTAAGACTTCTTTTACACGTTAGGAACTAATTGTAATTATACTGCATTCTACTTTATTGCAGGGAGTTGTTCATGTATTAACTTCCTTTCTCCATTTGTTACTTTAGTTTATAAATTGTAGTATTTACTGACACTGATTTCAATGCTACATTAACTTTTGTATAAGTGCAACTGAAAAATATGTATGAGATTCGATGGCTCAAAATGTGCAGTACAGGTTTCAGGAGAACGATCAGTTCTTATTTAGTATTAAATGGGTAACTCAGATTCTGCATCATCTTCACTTTCAGAGTGGAGTTATTCAGGTTATTAGAATTACTCAAAGACAAGAATGCAAGCATGCTTTCATGATATACTGCTAACTAGGTGACCTACATTAATGTCTATTGATTGTTAAGCTGCTTTAGATGACTCCTGTCTGTGAAAAGTTTTTGTATGGTTCTGGTTCTTTATTTCCCTAGTTGGGATGTCTAGTAATTTGATTCAGAATTGATGAATCAAGCAAGTACGAATTCACACTGCAAACAATTTTTCTACATATAACGTTAATTTGATTAATTTTATAGTGAATTGATTGAAATTACAGTTGTTTTTGAGACGTGCAATAAAATGTGAAATGCAATATTTGAAGTGATTGTTAAGGAGATACTTCAAATGTTTAATAATTTTCAAGTTTCAGTTGATGATTTGAAGAAGCAATTACTTAAAATACTCTAAACTTTATCTTATCTTTATCACTTGTATAAGAAAGTACTTAGTTCACATTGTAATTTCCATAGATCATTAACTATTCCAGGCATATAGGTTACTGGTTAGACGAGGTTACCTCCCAGGGTGAGTGTCTGATTCAGGTACATTGTAGTGGAAAGTTTCTAATTCCAGTGGCCTTTAAACTTCAAATAAAATATACATTGATTGTATGATATTCTAATTTTACTATGGTAAAGGAAATTGCGTCACTATGTTGTGAACTATTAAGAAAAGGATTTGAAATATATCTAGACTTAAAAATAATAGGTCATATGCAGTAAATCAAAAGTGACAGTCTGTTAAATGCAAGCAGCAGAGAAAATATGTAGGTTGTCTTATGTTTCAGTTTTTCGGGCTTACTGACAGACGACATTTTGATCCATGATTCAACTTTATTAACATTCCAACAATAATTTGATTGAACACTAGTTAGTAACTAGTGTAATGTGTCTAGTCCTTTGTTTGATGCAGCCTGAATTCTGTCAGTCAAGTTTGCAACCAACCATCTAATATCAACAATTCACATTACACCATGATGCCAAGCCACCTAGAATGGTGGCCACATTACAAACTTGACTGATAGAATTTAGTCTGTACGAAACAAAGCACTAGACACATTACACTAGTTACTAATTAGTGTCCAATCAAAAGTATCCAATAAAGTCCTTTAGGAGGTCAGTTGCAAGCCCGAATAGCTCAGTGTTAACGTCTCTGACTGCAATACTGGGTGGCGTGGGTTCCTTCAAGGTTGTAGACATGCCTTGCTGACTGGTGAGTGCCAGCTAGCACTAAACCTAGGTCCAAGGCTTCTTGCCGATTGCCTCCAATCATCTAACATCCCAACAATAAGTCTCTTATAGACAAGAAGGCGAGAAAACTTTTTAATATTTAAGTCATAAATTAACTATCATTATTACTGAGTAAACTTAAGAAAAAATACAAATTTTATATCATTTTATAGCTTAAAATCATTATTTCGTGATTTTACGTCTAGTTTTCTTTGATATTACGTATTGTTCCTAAAGTCGAAAGGTAAATAAAACCCTTTTACACTTATTCTTATTTACAAGTAGGCTTATTCTTATGCAAGGGAAAGCAGATACCGCCAAGCTGTTTAAATGAATCAGTTTTACCAGTCAGTTAGGCAATATTTCTTGGCATATCATTGAGCAAACCTAATGTGAGTAACAAGTCGTCAGAATTATAAATACTTAATGTTACTTATGGATTATTTTTCAGGTGGAATAAATATAATACTGTAAAGAATTATAACTAAATTAAACTATAAACGCGCTTTAGGTGGTGATGAACAACTGGAATTTAGGTGATGGTATATCGGAAATCAATTCAAATGTAAAGATATATTTAAACATAAAACTAGAACTCACAAAAGTTTACTTACGTAGACATTAACCGGCGGTGGAATAGTTTTCACTTTAGGTGACGATCCTGGACGTTCGTCTTTATTCATCTGCCAAGTTGAATCCTCAGCTGCATTCACAATAGAACCAGCCGACACGAAACCAGAACTCAAGGCTAATGAACCAGGTTCTAAATATGCCCCATTCCACTGCTCTGACTGCAAATCTGGTTTACGGCGGCAAGGACTAAGTGTAACAGCATGGCGAAGAGTAGAACGGAGACGACCTTGAGGGCGTCTGGTTTCAGTACTTGGGTTTATTGAGTCATTAGGTTTCTTATCATTGATCAATGGTTTTGGGCTTCCATTCTTCGACTCTGTATTAAATATTTGTTCTACTGTTAAATTTTGTGACTTATTCGTACCTGTCCATTTCCCTATGGGTGACTTGTCGCCTTGGCTGGATTGAACAGTTGATGAAATAGGTGAAAGAGACATATTCTTTTGCTGCTTGATAAATTTAGCTCCATGCGAAAATCTGTTTTTATTTTCTGTTTGCACAATCTCATTTGGTAAAGGACTTATTTCACTTGAAGCTTGTTCATCATTAATGAGAGATTCTGGAAGAACCGTTGAAGTTTGCATTTTGCATTTTTGTGTTTTTCTAAAAATATGGTAATTAAAATTTAAACGAGGGAGCATGAATAAAAGAAATCATTCTTCTGCAATGTGATATGAATAGATACAAAAGTAGATAAAATAATCCCCTTTTGTTAACCACTTGCAATTACTTACTAGATAAAAGCATTTTTGAAATGATATCAGTCAGAGAACCATTGGGACACCAGGCAGTACCGGAAAGCTGTTTCGTCCTAGTTTCAGACACTCGGTAGTACGTACCTACTTGGATTCAAATCCAGGATCTTCCGGTTACAAGGAGAACTCGTGGACCATTCAGCCACGAGAATGGCTCATGAATTTCAGCCACGGACAATTCATGATATATAGAACGACCATCGCGCATTATCGGCGACGAATAACTGTTCTCTTACTTGACTTGTTGCGTCTTATTTGTTATGATTTCTTACTAGAGCTCAAGGTAACTTCCTGCATGGAGCCATTGGTTGGTGAGCATTAGATTAATTGCCGACTGTCGGTTTGAGGGGCTTTGATTGGTTATAGCTTTCCTCACGAGCTGACATCAGTTAGAGAACCATTTGAAATCTGGAAGTACTGGACAGCTGTTTCGTCCTAGCTTGAGACTTCTCATCGCTACTAACCCTTATAACTGGTAGATCCCGGGTTCGAACCCCGGAGGATTTATCCTGCTGAAGAGTCCGGAACCAGGCTGAAACAGATGTCCAGTACTCCGTGGTTCTGTAATTAATGTCACCTGGTGATGAAACCTCTAACCAATCGAATCCCTGTAAACCAACACTTGAATATTTTCGAAATTCTCAGGTAAAATGGAATTCATCTTTTCACAGTCAATTCGAGTCTCTTAGCATTTCCTCCCCACTGAAGTGGAGATTACTTCCTAAGTTGTTTCAACAAAGGTTTCTCCGTGTGGAATTCAGTAGAGCACTTAAAATTGTTTCATAATATTATCCCTACTTCTTATCACTTATTAGAGAGATGAGACTGCTAGCAGTCACTTTTCTTACCAATAGTGAAACCCTTGTCCCTAAGAAGAATAAATGTTCAACTACAACTTGAAAGTGCTTTAACCCAATTATCTCTGTAGTTTTTGGTACACTGATAAAAAGTTTAAAAAGTTAATTTACGTTCTTAATGCATAAAATATATATTTCTTTTGGAAATCATTACTTGTTTCCTATTTTTAACAGCCATGAATTCTCTAGTAAGTGACAAAATTTCACCTTTGCAGCATGTATATATTCCAATTACTGATACTGTTACTTAAATATTAAACTAATAAGTGTCCTTCTTATGAGATGAACAGAAATGCATAACACGCAACTTGAATTCATTGAATATATATGTATATATATATAATTTCTGATTTTATCCTATTAATAAGAAAAGCAACTTCTGTCCTCGTACTGGATTTTGTACACAAAGATAAGGACCAAAATATACATAAAATACAATAAAATTTAATCAAAAAGTCTTAAAGTTTTGCATAAATAAAACTTGATAAATGATGTCTTTGGAAAATAGGGAAAGTTGAAAGCAGTGGGCTTTTACAAAAAAAAAACAACAGAGATTTCCTGTCACTAATAAATAACATTTTTAAATGAGAGGAATTATTTATTTTCCTATTTTTCTCCCTTTTGCATAATTCTTGATGTGTTTGTGTTGATCGATGGGGTTTTGGTCAGTGAGAAGAACAAAACAACAGATATAATGTATCAGTTATAGACAAAATGAATTATGTGAATTTTAAATCATTGATCGATATCACATTTGACAGAAGAGATATTGGGTGACATTTACGAATGGTTGTCATGTAGAAGATACACTAAAGGTTGTTAGATTAGCAGTCACTGAAACTTCAGTAGTATTTTACAGAGTGCTTTTTCGTTGGATGATTTCATAATCGGCTGATATCGGTTAGAGAACCATTGGAAAACCACCAAGGAGTACTGGATAGCCTTTTCATCCTAGTTTGGGACTCTTCAGGAGTATCCAGGACCTTTCGGTTACAAGGCGAGCTTGAAGACATCTCTAATTGGTCGCACAGTGTCGTGGATTGGCAGTAGTTAGAATTTATGGGCCACTGAGTCGGATCCCTGTGGCTTTATGGTCTACGAGCTCATCTTGTAACCAGAAGGTCCTAGGTTTGAACCCTGGAGATGGGTGTGTACTGATGAAGAGTCCCAAACTAGGACGAAACATCTGTCCAATATTCCCAGGTTTTCCAGTGGTTCTCTAAATGATGTCAGCTCATGGTGAAATCCTCCATGCAATCAGATGAAACTCCTACAAACCGATACTTGAAAAATGTACTTTTTGCCTGCATCTGAAATCAACGGCAACTGGAAACAAAAATTTCGAGTGCCATTATCATTCGTTACCTAAGCTGTGCCGTTTCGCGCTTTTGAGTCTTTCACTAGGCTTTCTTATGCGTCTAAACCGTATTCAATTTTTACTTGATCAGAAGGAATACGGATTCCGTAAACTCCAGAATTTACTTATTTTAAGACACTAGTTTCAGGATGTAAGACTGTTCACTACAGTAGAATCTGAATTCAGATGTTATATTTAAATTTCCGTTGACAATAATTAAATTCACAAGATTACTGAATTCCTTAGTAGTTTTTAACCTGAATAAAAATGCAGGACAGTTAGTTAATTAGTGAGGATATTTTGGGTGATATTATAACTGTCATTCAAATATGAAAAAATGACCAACTTATTTTTAGTATCTTTAGGAATAACACCTTATTATCTGACATAAATGAGACAGATTTCAATTATTTTTGGGGAATATCAACAAATGTTATGATAAAATTTATAGAATTTTGCATACTTCAAGTGCGTCTAAACATCTGCCTTGAATTACGTTGGTAGTTAGTATCTGAATAATTTCTATTGGTTATTTGTAGTAAATTACTCCACATAATTTGCCGTAGACTCTCACTTCTGAATTGTTTAACGGATATTCAAATATCTCATAAATCAATGCCATGTTATTAGGAATATGCGATACATAAAGTTTATATTTGAGTTGACAAGTCACAGATTTTGACGAGTAGTGAGGCAAAAGTATCAAATCCTGATGAAACATACAGTTTGCTGATAGCAAAACAAGATTATTTTTATCTTTTATTTTTATTAATAGTCTGGCTATTTAGGTTTTGATGAAGTAATCAGGGGGGAACGCAGCTTAGACAATTATTTTATTTGGTACACAGTAGTACAATGTCTTCCCCGAGGAAGGGAAACAGTAGATTCGTGTAATGCTAATTTGAAAGCAATGAAATTACTCTGTTATGACTTCGAGGAAAGATAGTGCTCAAAATCTCCTTCAATAATTTAAATGGAATAACTGAGGACACTATACTTACAGGCTTACGAAGGTGAGATCTTTGAAGTCATAATTTTATTTTACAAGAACTCTGATATTGTTTGTATCAGTTTTTTGATTACAGATGATGTTATCAGGCAGATTAAATATTGTAGCCTGTAGCAACAACTACAGATTTAGCAGAATAAAATGGTACCATATTTTATTTCGTCGCCTTCTCTTCAGCTGCTTACAGGGCAAAAACATTATTAAATGTATCTACAATAACAATTTAACATACTTACACAGAGTTCATTTTAAACAGAAATCAATCGATCAATATACACATACACTAATAATATATATATATATAAATGCAATGTTGAACGCCATTCCGAGCAATAATAATCATACAAAATGAAAACTTTTCAGTATGTCGCATTAGGATGAAAAATATCCAGTTACCAGGGCAAAGAAAGACTGATAACTGCTTTTTCTGAACGCACAAATCAGGTTTTAGGCGCTTGATGGAAAAGGCTTCAGCAAACTTAAGGAGCATTGAACTCCTTTGCTTATTGATAATTTTGAATGACTTTTCCACGTCCACCTCATGACCCATGTCAAGAAGATGCCTGGCGATGGCACTGCCTAACGCATTTGTCCCCATTAGACGTAAGCTTTTTGGTATATGTTCAGAAAATCGTAGATATGCTCTTCTTTCTGTTCTTCCAATGTAACTGCTCCCGCAGATACATGTAAATTTGTATAATAAGATATTGGGTAGTTTGAATTGATTTGTTTCTTTCTGCAAAGTCAAAACAGGGCACACGGCTGATGAACTCAGCCCCAAACGAGCAAAACCGTCGCCCGGTATTTAGGTCACTTCGGTCAGGCTAACAAGCACTGCTGCTTGATGTGAATAGGTAACAGCTACTCATCTCAGTCAATCAGTAGTGTATAGCCTTATGAAAGTTATTTTTGTTCATTTTTATGAATATGATGTATCTCTTTGTTTTAATTGGTATGACTATTGTAAGTCATTCTGGTTAATCTTGTTGGGGCTGCAGCCGCGAAAAATTATGAAAAGCGGTTTAGCCATATCGAAATATAGACGCCACCATGGAGTTCAGAATTACAACAATGCTCGTTTTCTTCAACCTTCCTAACATCTTTTAATATTCTATCACCGAGGTGTTGGTTACTGATAGATGATAGCCATAAGCAAATATTCAAAAACTGCAAATTTTATAGAAAATATAGGTAATGAATATTAATAGACTCACAAAGGCGTGATGTGATTGGTAGAGGAGGTCCTTTGAAAGGCATCCGTAGGAGCTGTCAAAATATAGAAAAACGAGATTAGTCTATATTTATTTAAAGTGACTGGTGTATTTTGTATTCTGTTTTTATCACCAAACAACAAATTTATTTGGAGTCATATAAAAGCTGCTTTATACCAAAACATAACGTAGATTTTGAATGCTAACGGGATGTTCTTTTGTCACACTCCATGAATCGAATTTCAAGGACTGATATTGTTATTAGACGGTTGGAGACAATAGTCAGGGAACCTTTAACCTATGTTTCGTGCTTGTAAGTACTCATCAGTAAGGCCTACCTGCAGTCTTCAAAGAACTAATGTCCATGCTGAAATTAAAACCTGAACCACCCAGTGTTGCAGTCAGATATGCTATTACTGAGCTATTCGGCGGTGCAACTGACATGTGATGGGTACCTTGGCTGGACACTAGGGAGTAACTAATGTCATGCGCCTCGTCCTTTGTTTGGTGCCGACTGACAACATTTCAACCTCGACCAACAGAATTAGGTCTGCGCCAAACGAAGGACTAAGTGCATGCTCTTAGTTACCATCTGGTGTTCGGTGTAAAGGACTATCACATTTGACTTTTCTCTGATTAAAACCGTTCCATTCAACATTCTTCGACATAAAGTTTGGTTATAGTTTACTTTAGGCGTTGACAGTTTTCATTTTTCATAAGTACCAACACATACACGAAGAATAGAATAGATCGCCTATCAAGTATTCATTGAATTATTACCCACACTTAGAACTGGGCATAATTATACGCTGTTTGTTAGGAAAAGGAAAACTTGTTCCATTTCTAAGTAGGATGGTGAAAAAATATTAAAATCGTGAGACTCTGCTTTCTGTTATATGATTATTATGTTATATATACACACTGAGATAAAACGATGTCACACGATAATATTTATGAATGTTGTTAAACGTGTGATAGATAATCACAAATAAGATAATAGAGATTTATCTAACTAAATTAAATCTAATTATGATCCTTATGTATAGTATTTTCAGAGTAAGTGGATACTGGTTCATTTTATTATTAAGGAGATGGCAAGAGTTGAAAGCAGTGTGAATTGCCTGAAAACCTCATTTAAGCCAAACTATCAATTCAGCTGATAGGATAAACTATCCACGGATCAATATATTGTACAAAAAACAAAGTAGGTTTTTAAAGAGTTATGAAAGATCAATAGAATATGCCTCGGAACATATTTTACTTATGACTGCAACAAGCTTCATCAGATTCGTATCGCAGTGATTCGTAGAAAGCGCATAATTTACTATCTAAAACTGTAATTCATTTTTGCTTTTAATTTCTTTCTGTATTTGCCTGTGTACTGGATCTTTTGAGAAGGTTCTAGAATGTATTTATGTCAAAATATTTATCGAAGAAGATTAAAAGGCAATCAAATAAAACAATACTTACGTGTTGACTGATGAAATGCTTCGCATAATGCAGCATTGGCAGCAACAGCTAGATTCAAAGCATCTGTATATGAGGTCGATGGTGTAATCTTTTTAAACTGATTATTTTGTACTGGAAAGTTGTTTCCTGTCACATTTTCTCTGGAATCATTTCCTAAAATCTGTCCTGCTTAATAATTACAGTGTGAAAAGAAAGTAAAATGGTCTAGTCAATACAATGGCTTTTAACTTATTAGATAACAGTTAAAATTATTATAATTGAATTACTAACTGGCAAATTTATGAAGTTAAAATGTAACTTGATTATTTCAGTTAGAATAAAAACAAATGACTTGTGATCATTGGTAGAAGGGAATTCACTTTGCTACCTGACAAACAAGGATTGAGATGCTCACTGTTTATTCAGATTCCATCATTTGCAGGTCACTATCATTAAGAGAAATAATCAAGATCAGAATATGTTAGATGCTTGTTTAGACCTAGTTTGGAACTACCCGACTGTTCTCATTTAGGCATCCATGAATTTTCTAGCCGAAAACTGTCAACGGCATTTACTAAGCAGCCAATGAGTTGGCTTTATTCAATCCTACATGACGTGATAAAACTGCCTAATTTTATCGACGGGTATTTGTTTTTGCATTCGAATTGACGTACCCACTATTCACGACGTCTCTCTACCAACAAATGTATTGGCAACAGGTATTTTAAGAGATCTAGCGTAAATTCTTAGAATTCTATGAAACTTGACAATAGATTTAATTTATTTAATGAAATTTAACATTATTCACCAGGCTTTTACGTGAGTATAGCAACTTTATGACAGTTGGAACTTTTAAAGGTTTCGGAAGTGTTTTCAGCAAACTAATAAGGTTATACATTTCATTAAGAAAGTCATGTAAAAGGTTTTTTTGTCGCAAAATTTGTACGTTTGCATGTAATTCTACTGATGTGAGAAATAACCAAATTTGTAGTCAAATTCTTCTCCTCAAAAGGTTATTTTGTGAGAACATTTTCATTGTCAGACAGACTATGCGATATCGCCGAAAAGAGTAACTCTTTGCTGAACACCTTTTCTTTTCTATGACTGAATGGGAATTTTCAAATTACTGAAACGTTGCAAGGACCCAGTGCCGGTGAAAGAGCTGGACCGTTTCCTGCGTTACTCCGTCAAGCTTGCAGTTGCGAAGGCAGAGATTCAGTTCTTGAGAGAATGTTTAGATCGGCACGAATATCCAAAGATGTACTGGAAGTCCCTCAGACGAAACCACATCCATCCGAATACCAGAACGCTCAGGCGACATACACTAAACAACATTGACTCCATCCAATCACGTGTCCCTGAACTAGAACGAAATATTGACTTACGAGCTCACGCAGTCCACGATTTAGAACAAGAACTACGCCAATCGTTCGAAGAATATGTCGAAGAAGTTGCACAGAAACAATGTGAGAATGTCAAGTCAAACCTTATTAAAAGCCTGAAGCCGACGAGCGACCCTGAAAGTCCATTCCCAAGCAATCCAGAAAAATACGTATTTAACCTCTCAAACATTGAGCTGTCAAAACTTCAACTAGAAGCACTGTCCCTCGGTCCAAAGTTCTGCACAAAACCATCGAAAATCCAAAAACTTCAAACCCAAGTTCAGTTCGAAAACTTGATAAACCAAACATATGATCTATCACCAACTTCCGAAGAGAACCTGCAACAGTTCAGGTCGGTAGTCCTCGACAGCTGCCATAAATTTATGAATACCAAACCAAATGGAAAGTCAATACTGACCAAAAAACACTATAAAGAGCTCAAGGAATTAATAAACAACAAAGAGATTATTCTGTTACGCCCGGATAAAGGTGGGGGAATCGTAGTCATGAATCGTGAAGACTACGTAAGTAAAATGCTGACCATCCTATCCGACGAATCTAAATTCATAAAACCAGCAAACGAAAAGAACATGACGGAACAAACTGAACAAAAACTAACTAACCTCCTCCGAAAACTGAAGACTGAATCATTCATCGATCCTGAAACCTTCGAATCGTTGAAACCATCGGGCTCAAATATACCCCGGCTATATGGATTACCAAAAGTGCACAAGAAAGACGTACCTCTCCGACCCATCCTTGATATGACTAATTCACCTTATCACAGTACCGCACAATGGCTAGTAGACATACTAGAACCAGTCAGAAAGCAAATCTCCCGCCACTCACTTCGAGACTCCTTCGATTTTGTCGATTCCATCGAAAACGTCAGCGTTTCCAATCAAACCATGTTCTCACTAGATGTAGTATCACTGTTTACAAACGTCCCACTAACCGAAACAATATGCTTTATATGTGAATATATTGATTCAAAGGAGATGAACATTGGTATACCCACGGACTATTTGAAGGAACTCCTATTAAGATGCACTCTAAACGTCCAATTCACTTTCAATAATGAAATATATAGACAAAAAGATGGTATAGCTATGGGCTCACCACTCGGCCCGCTGCTTGCAGATATTTTCATGTCAAAGCTAGAAAATACACACCTAAAGAAGACAATAGATAACTTCGGGTTCTACAAGAGATACGTGGACGATACTTTTATTATCGCCAATAATGAAGAAAATTTGGAGAACATATTGGACTTCTTCAACAGTTGCCATCCAGCAATCCAGTTCACACTAGAGAAGGAGTCCAACGCAACAATATCTTTTCTGGACGTGCAACTAGCAAGACGTGAACAAGATGGGACACTCAAAAGATCCATTCACAGAAAACCGACATGGAATGGACAACTCATCAGCTTCTACAGTTGGGTGCCTCTATATACAAAACGAAATCTAATCCGCTCACTGACTCACAGAATCCACAACATTTGCAGTCCGGAAACCATAGAAGAGGAGCTGAAGACCCTGAAAAGAATCCTCCTTGAAAACGGTTACCCGGAACGTTTCATCACAAAAGCCATGAAGCCCAAAACACAAAAGCCGTCCATGCTTACTGCTCCCAAGAAACTTCTCTATTTGAATCTACAATTCAACGGAGATTCTTCAGCAGAAATACTGAGAAATCGCCTGTGCCGCTCACTGAAGAAAACCTTCTTCGCAGCTGAACTCAGACTAACTTTCTCTACGAAACCAATGATTCGCACGAACGTGAAGGACAAGCTTCCACTGGGGGCCTCATCAATGTGCATCTACCAATTCACCTGCTCATGTGGAGCTAGGTATGTCGGCCGTACCCAGCGTTTGCTATCCAAACGAATCAGCGAACACTTACCTTCATGGTTTTATAAAGGAGAAAGAAGATCCCCCCGCCACAGCTCTATCCTAGAACACTTAATCGAATCCGGACACCAAGCAAACCCACAAAGCAACTTCTCAGTTATCTACACAATACGTGGGAACCTTGCCAAAAGAGTACGAATTAAACTTCTTCAAACTGCAGAAGCAATGGCAATTCACATATTGAATCCTGAACTCTGCATACAAAAGAAGTTTATTCAGTCACTAAATCTACAATGGTCCTGATCTATCTCAACATCAAATACGTAATTTTGTCTTACCTCTTTCTTCTTTGTTTGTCTGTTTCTTAATTGCATTATTTTCTACCCCCACCCTCTATTAAATCTCTACCCTCATGACGACTGTTGCTAACTCCATTTTCGTTTTTTTAAGTGAATTCTACTCAGCTTATCAACTTAACTCTCACCCATTTTCAAGTGAATTCTACTCAGATTATTAACTTGACTCTCATTCATTTTTTTCATTGAACCCTAGCAATTAGATTACGTCACCCAACCTACTTTTGTAACTTTATTTTAGTTTCTAACCGATTAACGCCTTCTAAATTACGTAATTTGTTGTCAAAAATTACCAATTGCATCTTTGGAAATATTCCTTTTGTTGCCAAGAAAAATTACTATAAATTTGCGGTTTGTACAGCTTGAGAATGATATCGCCGAAAAGAGTAACTCTTTGCTGAACGCCTTTTCTTTTCTAAGACTATGCTTTGTTTTCAAATAGAGCTTTACCAAAACATTACAAGTCAGCTACATGTTTGTACTGTAATTGTTACTTATAACTGCAAATTCTGATATCAGCAAAATACGCAACACTGCGTTCTTATATTTTACGCGAAATTTATGGACTTGTGGTTAGTCATATTCATACCTAATTATTTGTTTGATAATTAAAATGCTTTAGAAAGCCTTATTTGCCTTTTATATGTATGTTTAAATTACAAGCTAAATTAGAATGGGCTACAGGTGCTAAAGTGTTCTGTCTATTAGGTTTTTTCATTTTTAGGCACATGTAAATGAAATTATACTGACACTACAGAACCTTAAATTATCACATTCTGCTCTAGGCATTTGGTGATAAATTTTTTTATTCAGTACAGTGTCTACTTTTTTAATATTTACTTCGGTATTAAATAGCATTTAGCTAATGTTATTTATGGACGAATAAAAATGTACTGCAATACAGTAAATTGGCCAGTAGTATAATATGATTGCCACAAAATTTCCTGTTCCAAGCTCTGTCCTGTACAGGAATGTGGGAGCAGTATTCTGAATTGTGCTAAATTATGATGAAACAGTCTTGCTTTCAATGAGTTGTCACATTTTGACAAAAAAACATTTTTGGGGAAATGTTAGCTTTTTGTCGGACGCCAGCCAGTGGTCTAAGTTAAATGATCTGATGTTAAATCTTTCCAGATGGCGGACATTTAACTTCACTTTCAGACATAAAAGTGATCTACGCGAGCTGGTTCGTTCACATAGCATTTGTAACTTAGAAGGCATTGAAATTGAAACGATGTCAAGCATTTAATATCCTCGAATAGTTCGATCCTCTGATTTGTAAGAAAATATTTCATCTAACCTCCTAAGTTGGGAATTTAGTGCAATCTCGTAACATTCAGCCTCTACTTTTACAGTTTACTAGCTGTTGCGTCTTACCTATTGTAATTTACTGCTTCTCCCACCTTAGTCTTTCCAAGGCTACTCCTAAAGGACTATGTCATATTGCGCAAGGTATTAAAAATTGTCAGTAGGGCAAATGGTGTGCCACTAAGTTAGTTGGTTATTACTGTAGTCGACAGACACTTGAACTCATGTGAGAAATGGCTTAAATCCATATTGTCTGACTCTCAACATCCTCTCTAATAACAACTCTCTCG